TATTGTCGTATTAATGCCAAAATGTCTATATTTCAATGCGAATGAACCGGTGTCTTCTTTTGATATTGACCTACGAATATCTTCATCGTGTACTTCTATATGAAATGAAAATTTTCACAGCAATCTTAAGCGACTTAGGTTGACTGCTCTCATTCAAGCATATTATTAGATTTCTCATTTCTCAGTAGATGTCGGTTGGAAGGAATTGGTGAATACGACTCTTCGTAAAATTGAAAGAGTATTGTTGCCCTATTTCATAAACTATAGTTTCTTGCTCTGATGATGTCCATCACGACGGTACAAACGAAAGCTCAGCACAGGTTCACCGGAGTCGCAGGTCGATAAGGTGAGGGAAGTTGTTCGCACAATCCTCCAATCCTTATCCCACTCTGCTGCAATCCTCCTTCGGTTTCCGGTCAGACCAGCTCACGAATTCCTTCCAACTAACTTTAACTTCGAAATATAAAATAGGGTCACAGTAACTCACTAAAAGATTCATCTTGATTGAGTTTTTAAAAAATAATATTTCAAGAATTACTGATTATTTCGAAACTTGCTCAGCCCAATAATGCATCGGTAGCATTCGGTAAAGCACGAATTGATACGGTTAATGACGGTCTTTTTGCTTCTTAAGCAATGCGGAGGAGTTGTAAGAGTTTCTACAGATTCTCCCAGTGCACATGCTGAATTGCATTGGGATTAATCGTGTGGATAATTCGTCCGAGCTCGAACCCAGCTCGGACGACGGACGAGGCGAAAAAGTGAAGTTTCTATGTTGTCACGCCAATGTGAAACACATCTAATCTGATATGCCTTGACGGCAAAATCACATAATCCGTCTTCTCAGTGCCACTATCAACATAGTCTCTGTCTGAGTATGGTCCTTCTCGCTTCACGTTTGCTGTCAACTTTCGGCAGCTCGAGAGCCGTCGCTTAAGGCCTCACTCGGCCGCCACTGCTGGCCTCGCGATGCGCATCATCGCCTCATGGCCTTCTCTGGGGCAGAACTTTTGCCTAATCTAAACTGGAATTATGCTACGTTGTTTCAAAACTATTTTGTTAAGAGAAAATCCCACGCAAAAGAGCTCGTGACTTCATTCTCGTTAGCTGTCAATATGTTAATCTTGAGCAGATTAGCGCAGAGTCGAATATATTAGCCGGACAAAAGTGACTGTGCCAAA